TGTGTGTGTGTGTGTGTGTGTGTGTGTGTGTGTGTGTGTGTGGAGGGGCAGTCCTCTGGGGCAGTGGTTCCCAACATTTTTAGACTTGTATACCCCCCTGAGTCATTTTGTCATACTGCTAGCACTCCTTCAGTCAAACGTAATGATGATTCTCCAAAACTATAATGTACTGATTATTAAATAAAAATTATTTTATTTAACCCCCTAGAAAATTTAATTCTCAGGCATTTTTTTTCAATTCAAATTAAACATAAAGATAAATTGTTAATATTAGCTTTTAGCTATAGTTTTGCCTGTCCTATCTTAAGACTAGCTTTTTGCTAATATTAACTTTTAGCTGTTAGTTTGGTTATATAAGGTTTTAGCTATAGTTTTGTTGGTCCTTACTTTTAGCTACCGTTTTGCTAATACCAACTTTTAGCTGCAATTTTGCCAGTCCTAGCCTTAGACTACTGTTTTGCTAAAACTACCTGTTAGCTACCAGTTTGGTTATATAAGGTTTTAGCTATAATTTTGCCCGTCCGACATTTAAGCTATTGTTTTGCTAATATTAGCTTTTATCTACTGTTCTGCCAGTCCTAGCTTAACTCTACTGTTTTGCTAGTATTAGCTTTTAGCTACTTGTTTGGTAATATAAGCTTTTAACAATAGTTTTGCCCACAGATTTATAAAGGCTAGATAAGTCGTCCCCGCTGTTGGCCAGTGGAGACAGACGTCGTCACATGGCGGCCATCTTGGTACAGACAGCACTCCCACTTTTAACATGAATGTGAATGGTGCATTTACTATTAAAATAACCATAACTTCATCAATTTTCATCGGATTTTCAAACGGATTATTTTGTTGTAAACATAAGACATGGTGTTACAAAATGACATACTTTAATGGCCATTCATTTAAAAATAACATTATTCAGATAGCAATATATACACAGAAGACATTTAAATTACTTTTACACGTATTTACAAATAAAAATATAAAGCAAAATCATACACAATTAAAAAAATAGTGGTAATGAATATGTAAGAACCCATTTAAAACTATTTTTCCCTAAACATGCAAATAATAGCCTGTATAAGTGCCTTACACACACAAAAAAAAAAACACGTATACACACAGGTTTATAGTAACTACACATAATAGAGTAAATTTGAGGCAATATATGTATTTTTTTCTTTTAAATAAATTGATCAATTTACTTAACTTGGTTTAGTGGAACCAGTTTGTTTAAATAAATTCAACAGTTTATTTGTTAGAGAGCATGGAAAAATACTTTTACTTTCCTGATTTTTGTCAACAGTTCTATAACTTTTACTTAATTACTTTTATCGGTAAAATGTATTTTTACCGTCATTTTCTGTTAAGGTAATTTTACTTTTGCTTATTTCTTTCAAGTATAGACCTGCAGTTGTAAAACTATTATATTGTAATGTTTTAGTACTCCATTCAACAGAAATCATACACTCATGTAATTAATTTACAATGAACATAAAATATTTATTAAAAATAAGAAGACATTCAAGAGACTTACTTAATTTAAAAAAAAAAACAAAAACAAATACACCCACAGAACATAAAGGTAACAACTGGATGTTTGACCCAACTCCATTTGGCCTTATGGGAAATTTTCTTTCACTAAAAATAAACCTAAATCAGAACTATTTTTTTAATGGATGTCATTTTACCAGATTGAAAACCAGGATTAAACCAGGTCTGAACTAGATCTAAAGTGATCTGAACCAGGACTAAAAAGGATTTAACTGTGACCTTGTTAGTATTGTTAGCTATACAGGAAACATACAATTCATTTCATAAACGTCTGCCTGCCTTCAATAAAACAACAACCACCAAAAAAATCTGAGTAAATGTAGCACGACTGATTAGTTTTATCATTTATATCAAATATATTCTTGCGTCTAGTCCTCTTAACTACACATATAACAGTTTTTCTTGGCCCTCCTGTCTCTTGCCAAGGCGTTAGACTTCTCCAGCTGCAGTTTCCTCTCTCTGGCTGTGGCTCCTTCAGTTTAGTGTATAAAGCCTTGAGACAGCAGGCAGTGGACTGCTTTCACCTCTCTCCAGTGGCCCCCTGTTGCTTTGGAAAACCATACAAATAATAGTAATGTGGAAATTAAATATTTAACAATTCAATATTCACTTATCAATTGTGAGCCTAAATCAATCTATACTCACAGCATCAGACCGAGGTTCATCTGCAGGTCGTCTTCAACTCTTCTACATGTGGTTGTGCTTGTTTCTACCTGCTAAAATAAACACAAGGGAAAAAAAGTGTCTAAAATGTGTTGTGATCAACAAAACATTATTTATTCATAAACTTGCAGAAATAACTAAAGTGTGACATTTTATTATATATTATATTTATGATATCAGATCTATAAAAATGGTGTTTAAAAGAAGGACTGAATGATTGAAGTCAGAAGGTGTCAGAAAAAACATCTAAAATAAACGGAGCGTAGCTGAACCATGAGTAGGTTTTCCTCTTGGTGATGGTGGTTCAGGTGCAGAAGGGGGATTGAATCCCAGCCTGGGACCTCTCTGGGTGGAGTCTGCGTGTCCTCTCAGTGCAGGCGTGTTTGTTCCCCACAGAACAAAACCATGCCTGTTAGGCTAAAAGTTGTCAGTTGTCTCCTTCATGTCTCTGTGAATGAACACTTAATAATATTTTTCAGGTCTGAGCAGGTGCAGGACTGGTCCCAGCGTTACTTGAACAACTCTGGAGACAGGCCTTCCACAGATGCTGAGGAGAGTTTCTCTTATCCTCCTGGGACTCTGCAAAGCTCCAAAACCTCAGGCCTGTCCTCCAGCAGCTACGAGCTTAGTCAGTACATGAACGGAGTGGACCTGGGTGACCCGGACCCCCGACCTGCTGCCACTTCAGGTGGAGGTTAGTGGACTGGTTTGAAGGCGTTCGCTCTATGTTCATCACCTGACCTGCTGTGCTTCGTACCTGCGCAGAGCGAGGAGCTGAGCAGCTGATCTCTGCTCCTCTGAAGTACTCCGTCCCTCACGCCGTGGTCAGCTTTGGGCCCGCGGGCCAGCTCGTGCAGCTCACGCCACGCTTGTCGGCGCAGGACAGCGTCTGCCACCTGCAGATCCACAGCGTGGAGGTGGGTACAAAGTGTAACTAACTCCGCCTGTGGAAACATAACCCCGCCCACAGGCAAAATTACAACAAAGTGGGCGGTGCCAAGAGAGACTGAGGGGCACGGACAGCTAGCTTCATTTGATAAGCTAGCATTTCTGAACTTTCTAAAGAAATTATGTAAAAATTAAAGTTTCATGACATACAGTACATGCAATCGCACATTTACTTGTTTCAAACTATACATAATAAAACAAATTCACACAAAATGTGAGAAGGGGTTATCTGCAGTTGAAAGTGGGCGTGTCACAAGAGTGGGCGTGTCTAAAGCATAAACACTGTGGGCTACGAGGCCTACATGACGGTATCCTTAGACCCTGCTTGATCTCTTTACATCCTGACCCTGACCCCAACACTAAGGTTAACCAGGAGAAATGTGACCCAAATAGGGTTCTCCAGAAAAAGTGGTGCCGTACAGTAACGCCCCTTTTGTTCTTGTCCAATCAGGTGTGTCCCTTTAACAAAGTCCGTCAAATCAGGTGTGTCGCTTTAGAATCGCCTTTCCTTATGACACGCCCACTTTGTCCACAGAGACCCCTACTTGCAAAATGCCAAAATTTGCACAGAAATATAACGAAAATACTTTTAAGGCCCAATTTAGACAGTTTATCTGCAAAAAATTTTAAAAAAGTTGACTTAGCCACTCTTTAAAAAGCAACAGATAATGAAATAGTATAATGTATACGAATTGTTGCTGGAGAAGGAGTTGACTTTTTTGTTTTGTTTTTGTTATTTGTAGATTAATATGGTTTGAATTTATTTTTTGTTAAAAAGGGGCAGATATAAGATTGTTTTTCTGCTGCCTTTCATTTTATTTGTGATTTGTACTTTTGACTGTATATATAGAATTTATTTTGTTTTTTATGGAATAAACTTCATAATTTTAAAAACAAATAAATAAAATAATTGCAGTAAAACAACAGTAGAAGTGTGTTTGTCAGCTGAAGAACACTTAATTTTTTTAAACGTGGTATATACTTGGTGAGTCAAAAGTCTCAGGACATCCGTTCATTTCAGAAACTAAAGGTAAAATTAAATATCTGAATACCCCAGCTAGTAATAGGTGAGGGGGGGCTATCCTTTAGGATATGTTCAAAACATACCGCTATTTTGAAAGCCTCCATACTGGATAAAAGTCAAACTTTTTTAAAGGGAACGTTGTCATGCAGCATATCAGAGACCAGTATCGTTTCAGAAATTGATTGCTACGATCAGATGGGCAATGTCTCTCCTGTTCAAAAGTTATCAAAGCAGAAAGTTGCAACAACTAGGACTGTTGCCTGTGATGCACAGCTACTGTTTGACCTGTGTACTAAATACTAAAAATCAGCTTATTGTACAAGAAAACATTTATCACGCTTCACTAAGGTTGTTAAAAACAACAGTTTTTGTTTCTGCGTCTGCACAGGTGATTCTGAGTGAGACTGAAGAGCAGCAAGAGATGAGAAACTTCCCCGGACCCCTGACCAGGTGACCTGCAGAAGAAATTGCCATCAAATGTGTTTCTTTAGCTGTGACACAACTCTGACATCGCCCATCCTGTGAGTTGATGCATTGTCACACTAATTTGTATTTTTAAAGGGAAGACCTGCACAAAGTGGATGCTATAGAGTTTGCTCAGCAGAAGGCGGGGGCCTGTGTGAGGGACGTGACGCTGCAGGACAGGAGCTCTGCTGCCCTCTTGTGGAATCTGTTAATACTTCTCTGCAGACAAAATGGGGTAATTACATCACATGGAAAAAACATTTTAGTTTAGTTTATTCATTTCGATTAAAAACAAAAATTTCAATACAACAAAAAAGAAACACAAATCTCATAAAATGAAAGGAAGCAGAAGAAGAAAAAAATCTTATATCTGCCCTTATTTAACAAAAATATATATACAGTATATATATATACAAACATACACACACGCATGTACATATATAATAATTTCACACCATCATCAGCATAACAAAAAACTTTAAACACTCAAACATCAGCTTGTAGAAATACATAATATATAGTTTCATATCTTTTCAACCATTTAACTTCTATCATTCTACCAAATAAATTAATCGAGTCAGCATTTTTATAATCGCTGTCCAAGTTATTCCACAATATTATTCCTTGAACTGAGGTACATATCCTTCAAGTTTATTCGAATTTTAGGTTTTATAAACATTTCAAATCCTTTCAAATTATAACAACTTTCCCTCTTAACAAAATTAGATTGAATATTCAAAGGCAATACATTTTTATGAGCTTTATACATAATAAACAAAATCTTATAATCAACCAACTCATCAAATTTTAATAATTTTAATTTATGAAATAATATATTTGATGGGTGATGTTATGGCAATATTTATTTAACAACAGAGACAGAAATACGCTGGTCAAGAATGAAGGTACTCCGTGGGATGATCAGCTGAGTTTTATTGCAACAACAGGAAACACAGAGAASSTGGCCTGYCTCTCTGCCTCTCTGTCWGTCTCTCCACACTGCTCACTGTCTAACTCTGTTGYACAYTGTGTCTCGAGAGGCCTCATATACAGCATTCTGTCATCTAACATCGTGTGAGAATGAACAACCAATCATAACCTGCCCCATCCTGATACACGGAAATAGGTCAACTTGATGCTGACGTCCGGAAGGATATCTCAAGATATGAACAAGTGTTCATATCTTCAGGAACAGGAACAAGTGGTCAGTGTCAAGGTGATACAGAAAATAAGTATTCCACAACAGGTGACTATAATGTTTTCTGGTAATTGTTATTGCTCTTTTTGCGAAATAAAAATAGAATTAGTAAATGTTTTATATGCCTTACCCCAAATTTCAACATAATAAATCAAATGTGGAACAATTATTGCGTTAAATAATATAAATAGAGCTTTATCATTAAATAACTCCTTTACCTTATGTAGTACTGCAATAGATTGAGCTATTTTTGTTCTTAAGTAATTTATATGTGGTTTCCAGGTCAGGATTTCATCAATAATAACACCCAAAAACTTCACCTCACTAACTTTACAGATCTCCACACCATCATCTTTAAATGAAACATCGACCGTTCTTTTTCCGTTTTTATCCAGCAATAAACAAAGCAGTTCTTGTTATTTTCCCACTTGTTTCAGCAAGTTGTTGGGTCGGATATAGCGGAGCTGCTAATGCAGGACTCACACTCAGAGGAGCGCGGGGGCTCAGACGGACCCTCGCTTATCGACTTCAGCGAGCCGGCGACCGTCGTAGCCCCGCCTGCTAACGGAGATGACCTGCTGACAGGAGATCTGAGCAGCTTCAGCTGTGAGACTCCTGAAAAGGCCCTGCAGAGCTACACTGACCTGCTGCTGGCGGGGAGGAAAAAGGTTCATTACTTTTATTTTTCTACAGTTGTTTGCACTTTTAGTTGTAGTTTACATTTATTAAGTCGTCTTGTTCAGATTTTTCCCCAAGCTTTTCACAATAAACTCTAAGCTTGTTGTCATTTTTTCAAAAAGTCTCTTTATTTTAGTAATAATAATAATAATCCTGTGGACCGGCACAAAGCCACTCATTGTTTGGTGGATGTTGCTTTAGTATCCAGACCTGTACATTTCATCTGTCACCAACACTCCATTGTAGAACCTTTCAGCACATTATTCATGTGTATTTTCTAAACTTTTCTGTTTTCTTCTCTTTACGTTTCTCACTTCTTCCTGTGTTTTATTCAGGAGGCCCTGGAGTCGGCCATGACCAGCGGCCTGTGGGGACACGCCCTCTTCCTGGCCAGCAAAATGGGCAGCAGGTCGTACACCACAGTCCTGAACAGGTGAGACACACGAGCTGTCAAATTAAGAGCTTAAAATAAGCTTTCCAACTATCACTACTTATGACAGACATACTGTAAATCTAATGAGTTGTATCAAATAAGTCAAAAATAAACAACATCATCAAGGTTTGTCTAAATAAAAATGCATCAGCGTTCACACTATTTTAATTTTTTTCTATAAAAAAGCTTATTCAGGACAATGCAGCTTGGACTTTTAGTTTTGTAACTTTAATACTTGGTATAATGTTTAACTTGATTTACAGTTTTCCTCATTTAAATATATTAACTTTTCAAATTCGTGAAAACTTTGTGCTCTTTGAAATCATTTTTGCTGCATGATTAGATTTTAGCTACTATTTTCCTGTTATTAGCATTTAGATACAGTTATGACTGTCCTGCTGTTTGGCTAAGATTTGCTTTTAGCTACAATTTTGGATGTCCTACCTTTAATCTGCTGTTTTGCTAACGATAGAATAGTCTTTGTCATTGTACAAGCCTGTACAATGAAGCTGAGCACTTAGCTACGGTTTTGCCGCCCATTCCCAACTGTAAGCTACTCTTTTGCCTGTCCAGCTTTAAGCTACTGTTTAGTTAATGTTAGCTTTTAGCTACAGTTTTTCTTGTCCTAACTTATAGCTACTGTTTTACTAATATTAGCTTTTAGCTACTGTTTTACTAATAGCATTTAGCTACTTTTTTACTAAAAGCTTTTAGCGGCTGTTTTACTATCACATTTTAGCTACTGTTTTTCTAATAGCTTTTAGCTACTGTTTAACTAATATTAGCTTTTAGCTACTGTTCTGCCTGTCCTAGCTTTTAGCTACAGTTTTGCCTGTCCTTACTTTTAGTTACAGTTTTGCCTGTCCTTACTTTTAGTTACAGTTTTGCCTGTCCTAGCTTTTAGCTACTGTTTTGCCTGTCCTAGCTTTTAGCTACAGTTTTGCTTTGCTTTTAGCTACAGTTTTTCCTGTCCTAGTTTTTGGCTACAGTTTTGCCTGTCCTTACTTTTAGTTACATTTTTGCCTGTCCTAGCTTTTAGCTACAGTTTTGCCTGTCCTAGCTTTTAGCTACAGTTTTGCCTGTCCTTACTTTTAGTTACAGTTTTGCCTGTCCTAGCTTTAAGCTACGTTTCTGCCTGTCCTAGCTTTTAGCTACAGTTTTGCCTGTCCTTGCTTTTAGCTACTGGTTTGCTTTGCTTTTAGCTACAATTTTTCCTGTCCTAGCTTTTTAAAAAGTAGTTTTATCTCACGGCACGAGACGTTTTAAAGCTTTAGTTGTGAACCATTAAATAAATTCAGTCTTTGAATAAATAAAATTAATAAATCCAGATTATTCTCATTACTCTTCATATAACAGACCATTAACTCCTCCCTGCAGATTATAATCTGGATTGAAATGAAATATAACTGCCCACCAGTCTCAGAGACTATTAGGTGGTAAAAAGACAGAATATACTTGTATGTTCAGAAATATTCTACAATAAAATAAATATTTAACTGGCCAACTAAAAAGCTGTCTGACAACTCTGCAGCATCAGCCTGCAGAGAGCTGCACTGCAGGAGTCAGGCTGCCAGAGGGCGTGTCTGGGGAAAGACCTGACCGATTTAGATACGTGATTGACGAGGGACAGAATGTGAGCGGTTAGGCTGCTGTGAAACGTTCCTGGACAGTTTGACAGAAAGGCTGTGCTTTAAATAGGTCGGTTACTGTTTTAGCAACTAGCCCAGCTGCTAGCCTTGCTGAAGATGTGAAGTGACGCACGCTGCTCTGTTGGCAGGTTTACAAGCCAGCTAGCAGCCAGTGATCCCGTTCAGACGCTCTTCCAGCTGCTGTCTGGGAGAATCCCAGCCGTAGCCACGGTAAAACATCAGAATAAGACTTCAGCATGTTTGAGCTGTGAATGACGTGATTTTTTTTGTCCTGGCAGTGAACATGTTAAAAACATTAATAGTTCAGAGTTTTCTGTGCTCAGTGCTGTGGAAATGAGAAGTCTGGAGACTGGAGGCCCCACCTGGCTGTGATGCTCTCCAATGAGACAGAAAACGCTGCAGTTCGGCAGAAGGCCATCACCACCATGGGAGACTCTCTCGGTACAGACACACCCACTGACTGACGGGTTGTCTCACACACACACACACACACACACACACACATATGCAAACTGACGTGCGGTGTGGCTCCTCTCCACAGCCTCCAGAGGCCTCACACACGCTGCTCATGTGTGCTACCTGACAGCAGGCGTTCCCTTTGGGGCGTTCACGCAGAAGGCAGAGAGGCTGGTTCTTCTGAGCAGCAGCCACAGGTGAGATTAAAGACTTCCTGTCAAAACCCTGCAGCTCGTGTCTTCAGTTTCCTCTAAGAACATATGCATATATCTTTTTATTGAACATAACAGAAGGTAACAGAAACATTACAATATTCATACACTCAAAGGAGTGGCAGGTTGGTTACTTTTAGTCACACTGTGATTTCACCCTTTATTTGGTATTTTTATAGCTTTGTTGCCTCAAGACAGTATATTTTTTTACTTATTTATCCATATGGCAATGCTATATTTGTTTTCTGAGTTTGTGTTATATGAAAAACTTTTTTTCTAATTTGAAGATGAAAAACAATTTTTTTAAAATTGTGAATCTAACAAGAATATGTTAACAATAAATTAAATCCCTCAAAGTTTGTACTCTGTTAACCCCCCTATTTTCATAAGTATTTTAAATAATTATGCCTTAAATACTTAGTAATAAGTTCCATATTGAGATTTTATTGGTGTGAACAAATTCAAATAGCAGATTTTGTCAATATGTAAATAAATGTTAAGCTTGTCGAATAATTCGGTTGCCTGGAAAAAAAAATCAGACTGTCGCTCAGTCTGCATCACACATGTTCTTTATCATCTGCTTCATGGTGAAGACTGACGGACTTGGCTGGCCAACTCAAGCACGTAGGTTTCTCTGCGGGCAAATGGGCGTTTCCAAAGAAAGGCGGTTCACAAGAAACACACCTGATTGGACGACCTTTTGTCACGGTGCACATCTTATTGGATGAGCACAAAGAGGGCGTTACTCGACAACAACACCTGATTGGATGATTGTTGCTTCGGCATTGCAGTTAGTTTTACAAACTTGCTGTTGTTACAGTGGTAATTAGAAGACTTGGAAATAATAACATCTGGCAGGTTACCTGCTGCTGTTAAATGTTTGTATGAAGATGCAGTGTTTGACCCATGTCTTCATTCATTGTTTCCTCATAAGTTTATTCAAAATACCAACCTGAAGTCTTCATTTATTATTTCCACTTTTCTTAACAAAGAGCTCCAGGTTGCTCCAGCAGGACGAGTCCCCTAACCACTCCACCACAGCCAGCCCACACAGTTACCATTATGTTACCTTTTAGTATTTCTAATTTTCCAAGCGTTTGAGTTACGTCCACCTAAACCAGATTTAATCTTGTTTCTGTTATTTCCATGTTGCACAATAAAAGGATTTATTCAGCACATTTTTTTCAAACATCTTTTCAGCTGCTGATGGCCTCTGTAAACAGAAGGTTGTTGTTTTTAAACAGAGTTACAAACTAAAACAATACCAGCCTGCAGTTTTACTCACAAAATGAGATAAATCGTTCTCCTCTACAGGTCCCAAAGCCTAGAATCATGTCATCACTGGCAGGTTTAACCCACGGATTATTCTGTTCCCATGTGCTTTCTGCTTTGATACGAGTTTCTAGTTAATGGCCCTGTCACACTAGACAACTTATGAAACATTTTTTTATGTCTAAAATGCTGATAAAAGTTGTATATTTGATCAATTTGTTAGAGTTACAGCCAGGGCCGGATTAACACTTCGCTGTACCCTGGGCAACAATATTCAAGGGCCCCACCATCACGACCCCAGGATTACCAGTCTGGCAAAATACAGAGTAAATTATTGCAATATATAGTAAATATACTCAATACTTCAAATTCCAAGTGTATTTTGATGTACAAATGCTCATAGAACTACAAATACACTATGTCATCTTGTCAAGGACACTCCTTCACATGATGCAATAAAAACAAAACACATCAATATAATCTGGTAAACATGAACCACTACATTGAGATCGAGGGAAGTGTCCTCCATTTACACAAAAGCAACACTTGACATTACACAACCCTCTCAGTCACCTGACCCACCTCATGCTGACTGACCAATGAGGAGAAGATCTCAACTCACGTTCACAGTGACAGGCAGCCTCTCTGTGCAGCACAAGAGCTACAACAGACAGTTTAACAAAAGCAGGAGAAAACCAGACATTTAGCTGGTGCCTTCACTCAAGGGTGTAACCATCATCTCAGAGGAGAGGGGGACACATTTTTTAGAGGTCTATTGAATGATTTATCATCCTCTCTTATTAAATCACACCTCTCCTTAGTGGCTAAAACACATAATTACTGACAGCCACAGTACAGTTCCACTGACTGACTTTAGTTCTTTAAACTATTTATTAACAAAATCTGAAGTTTTAGCAGTCAACATGTAGCCAGATGGAAAACACCATTACTA